TACATTTAAAGGCTATTTAAAGCAAAGGAAGATAATGTGATTATATCATAACATTCATTGTAAGGTATCCAAAATGGACAACAAATAAGAGCCAGCCAGCAACATTGGAAGACAATTATCTTTCAAATTGTTCTTAGATTCCTTTGAATGCAATGAAATCCAAAATCCTGTCTGCAGTCAGTCAGTAGTCACTGGGAGGAAATTTAATTGTGGTTCACGAGTATTCCAGTGCCATTAAAAGAAATTCTGTGATAACTTTAATGTCCTTAATCAAAACTGAGAGCCTTCTTCCCAGATGCTCAGACTTTTTCACTGGGAAGTGCTAATCACAGTGGGGACATATGGTTCCATTGAACTTGGCCATTTCCAACCCAATGCCTGTGCTTTAGCAGCTCTGCTCCTCCATATGTGATGTCATTCTGGATGCATTTTTTGTCCAAGGCTGGTAGACTGAGGCAGAAGCCGCCCCAGGGAAGAAAAACTACTAAAAATATAAATCAGCTGTCTCTTAAGTTAGTTACTGTCCAAAACACTGCGTACAGAAATGTAGTAGCTTTTTTTATGAGTTCAAAAGTTTTTATTAAAGCCAAATGGCTAGAAGGAAGCTGTATATTAATTTCCTTCTTTGTTCCAGACTGAGAAAAATCTGAAATGTGCTTCTCTTGGGTATTTTTGATTTTAGTTTTGTACTTCTATTGCTTATGACTGCCTACAGCAAATTATCAACCTTGCAAAGCTGCTTTTTATGTTTGTTTTTTACTCCTCTGTGAGAGTAAAGATGCGGAAGTCCAAGAGGGATGACAATAAAATGAGTTATAGCAAATGTTTTGGAGTTGCTTTTAGCAAACAAATCCTTCTTTTCTCCTGTGCCTGCATCTGGATTTTGGAATTTGTGGCATTCACGGTAGTTAATGTTATATTGCATTAAGAAGTGGTGGTGGAGAAGAAGAGTAACACAGAGAAATGGAATACAAAGAGAAAATGAAGGCAGGCCCAGCCAGTCTGATGGAAGGGGAGGAGGGGAACTGCACCAGGGACCCTCCAGCACCATGCATCAAAGCTACCTTGCATTAATTACCAAATCTAGGAACTGTGCCATGGCTACCTAAGGAGAAGCAACTGTCCCTCATTTGTGATTAAAATGTCATTAGACTCCTGTAGGTCAACAGAGTTTCTGGTTTTGGAGCCAGGAATAGTTGAATTCCAGCCCTAACTGTCCCACTGATTTGCTGCATGGCCACATATAACTCACCTCCATCTGATCTATCTGTGTAAAAGGCTGGCAAATATTCTCAGTGCACAATCATTTCAGGATTTAACCATTCCCAAATTCTGGCAGGTGGCATTTGTTTTATCCACACCCTAATTCAGCCTTCTCCAGACCTTTCTTCTGTCCCTACATCGTGATGATAATGTATACCTTACTCCAGCTGAATTTGCAAAACCATTTTAGAAAGAGTTTACTGGGATCATTTGAAAACCACTCACCCTGTACTGTAAAAGTCTGTCATTGTTCAAAGATAAAAGCCTATTTTTGGCCAAAGACTGAAAATTGTTCATTATCCCAGTTAGGTTTCTTAGAATTTACAGCTTATATGTGTAGTTTTTGGTGATTTAAAGCAACAGCTGGTACCTTAAATGTATTGGCAAAGAAACAAGGCAGCTTCTTTTGGTAACATTAGCATTGCCTCAGTGTCAGATCACAGATTTATTCTAAATCATATTATGCTTACTGTGTCCTTGCTTTTCAGATTTTCTTCATCATCTCACTTTTATTTTGGTGAGTGAAAGAGAAACTGTGAAATTTGTAATTCACAGACAATTTGGCAAAATAGGCACAATAAACATGAAAACCAAAAAGCACTAGGTGCAGATTTCATGACAGCCATCCCAAACTATTATTTCCAAAGGTTTCTAAATGGAAAAGAAAATGTTAAACCCCTAGTAAGAGCTATCTTGGTCTTGTTGGTGCTTTTGTGAGGGTTGCCTGGTGTCATGTGCATTACATGCCCCCTGTGAAATTTCTGCAGTTGCAAGTGGAAGTCCAGAGAGGGGTCATGTGGCAAGAACATTTCTCTCCCTCTCAGGATTTTTCATAGAGGTGCACAGAGAGAAATGAAAGAGAAAACAATTTCTATTTCTGCTCCTTGTTTTTCCTATGTGGAATATTTCTGGAGAATTGTTTACCTGGAGTGAGTGCTTGGTTGGATTCTGGTGAGGATTGTTTGAGCCTGATGGCCAATCCAACCCACCTGGGGCTGGACTCTCAAGAGAGGGCCACGAGTTGCGTTAGAGTCAGAGAAAGTAGTAGGTAGGATAGTATATTAATGTATTTTAGCATAGTTATAATAAAGAATAATTCAGCCTGCTGAATTGAGTTAGACATCATCATTTCTTCCCATTGGGTTTGCCTGCATTTACAATAGGGTCATCAGTCCAACCCACAGAGATCCAAGCTAGAGGGGCTAAGTCTGCCTTTCCTGCTCCTCAGCAGTGCCTTAGGTACAGATTCCGTGCAAAATCCAAGCAGTCAAATGCCTTTTAGGTAGCTTCAGTTTCCCATTCTCCTGAAGTGAGAGAATGTCACCACATTTGTGATGTCCCCTGCCCCCCGCCCCCCGCACAGCCCCCGAAAATATCCTAGGCTAGCTCAGAGGTAAGCAGGCTGTGAAGGGAGGAATATCAGGAGATGGCAAAGATTTCCAAAAGAGGCTCTTACCCCAATATATGTTGGTTCAGCTCTCTTTATTCTGTGGTGTCCAAGTGGAGAGCGGGGCAAAAGAGGACGAACAGGAAATGTCAGGGGTCTATATAGACTTTGGACAGGGTGGGCTTCCCTGGCTCTCCGCCAACACCGTTGGGGCAGGAAGGAGGGGTCCAGGGTTATCTTGATCAGTCACAGGGTCCCAGGGAAGGGGAAATAGAGTGCCTATGAGCTCACTGTAACACATTTGCTTTTCAAACAGCACAGAGAGATTAAAATTTAAAGCATTTTTTCCCAGTGCAACTAAAATTGCAAGAACATTTCCAGCCATACAAATTTTAGATTTAATTTGACTTCTCTTAAGGGATCTTACCTTTCAGACCTGCACTGAGAGCAATCCCTCACATTTTATCAGCTCACAGGCAGTTCACTCAGCAGTTTTGTATTGATACAGAGACTGAAGCATGGGAATCTGTTCTGAGTGCAGCTGAATCTTATTAGGCTATTGCTCCAGATTGTTTACGGTATTTTAAATTCAAAAAGTACACCATTATAATTTCATACTTAATCCCTGTGTGCTCTCACAGTAATAAGGTAATTTAAAAGCTATTTTAAATCTATAGGCATTAGTAATTTTTTAAGAGATGCTAAACTACTGTCTCATTTATTTTGAGAAGTATCAACAGCACTTCTGGGGTATCAGAAACATCTAAATTTAGTAACTTCCATTTGCTAAACTGGGTCCAATCTTTTCCAGTTTTCACAGGGAAAATTATGAATACTGATTTTTTTTTTCTCTCAAGCATTGTTCAAGACAGGTTCCAGATTTATTTTAAAGTAATAATTTTAATAATTAATATATACTATTATGATATATAAAATATATTATATATAACATATATACTATATAAAATTATATGTATTTGATAAATAGTAGATAGTATCATATATATTATATATTATATGTATCTAATAGTTATATAATATATATAATAATAGTTATATAATATATATAATTATATATATTATATAATAATATTATAAAATGTAATGCTTTTAAATAATATTTATTTTAAAATAATCAGATCTTACGAGCCTAAGCTTGTGATTCTAAGGTAGAATCTCTTTATACAAACTAGATAAGGTCAAATGTATTTCTGAGATAAATTTACTGAGTTAAGTGAATTTGGCTCATTGTTAATAACTTACTATTCTGGATGGAAGTTTAAAGCAACTATCACAAAGCTGGATTAATCATCATCCTGAATGCTGCATTGAAGTGCTTTGCCTGTCAAATAGATTAACAAAGTTGTATGTTTCTTTCTGTTTCACTATATATATGATTTCAGATTGTCTATGACAGAGTTGCAGAGCTCCAAGGCCGTGTACTGAAGCTTGTTGTGAAAAGCAAAGGAACATTTGTGGGAGCTGTTAACATTCAACTGAGCAGTGTCCAGTTAAATGAAGAAAAGTGGTACCCACTGGGAAACAGTGTAATTTAAATGTTCTCCAAGATGATTCAATTATTTGCCCACTAATGTTTGTCTGTCCCATTTCCCACGGTACGTTTTGACTCAGTTGCCCTTGAGAATAGGCAATCATCTGCTGAGCACATATCCTAACATTTCTAACCATAAGGCTATTGTCTTACAAGTGCTACCATCTTCCTGCCACAGATTCCTGACAGTGTGAGGTTAAAGAATCACATGCTAAGGACTTGTGGCAACACACAGAAAGTTCTTATGACAGCAATGAAGGGCTTAGTTTTGTTAATATTAAATAGTGCTGTAAAAAAACTGAATTCTGTACACATCAGTGTGTGGGGGCTCATTCTTTGCCCATTAATTTCACTGACTGTGTTGGAACAATGCTGATAATGGTGTGATTTATCATCACTTTATTGTGATGAGGTCACCAGAAAACCATGGGATGGTTCCCTGCCAATATATTTCAGATGTCCAGCAAATTTCACATTAAATCTTACCCAATCAATACTTTGTTTTTTTAAGAACTTTAAAAGTTTTGATGCAATCTAACATTTAATCCAGGATATTCATTTGTCAATGATCTATGTCATTGTTTCTTTTATTCTGACATCTAAGAGGCAGATATAACTGATCATTGGTGTGAAGAAAGAAGAGAAAAGCTAATGTTCATGAATAAAGAGAATATATTGAATGTGTGCTTTCAGTGAGGGATTTATTTAAGATCATGATACCACAAATATTTGTTCCGCAGTCTTCCCACATGCTGCATAAGGGGTTCAAGTCAATACATGCTTTGAACAGACCTCAGAGCTATAAAATATATGTTTATAAAGTAAATAATGAACATTAGTGGTTCCTTTAACTTCACAAATGCTAATTATGGGCTCTGTTTCCCTCTTATTTGAGGAAGCACTTAAGCATATCTTTAAGAATTTGGCATGTGAGCAGCCACAGTGAACTGTCCATTATTGCAGACCCACTGACCATGTAAATAAACCTTTCCAGGGCCAGGAGCACATTTTTAAGGCACAGCAGATATGTTGATTTGTGATCTAATCTGCTGTAAATTTTAAGTTGCCATATACTGGACAGACCTGACATTTGTCCTACCAGGTGGAAAAGTGGTCAACAGAGGCATAATAATCCCAGAAGTGAAGGTAATTGCCTTCTTCTCCCAAAGGACACTTACATCAGTCTTCAGAATATAAAGCTCTATAAAGCTCCTGAAGTGGGACTTGGAGTGTTAGTTAGGAAATTAAATAAACTGGATTTTTTCTCAGCATCAAACCAATGGACTTGTTCAGGTTTTATCTGAAAATTCTTTCCCCAGTCAAACTGGTGTACAAAGATCCTCCTCAGTAAGGGGAGGTGAGGAGAACTCTGTTTGAATATTAATATTATTAGTCTATTCAGAGCTGTAAGAAACTGTAAAATATTTACCACATGCAAGGGACAATGACTGGCACACAGAATGTCATCACTACAAAGATCAGGACACCAAAATTTTATGCTATAGGCTCTCCTGGGAAACAAATCAAGTGCCTTGTCATTCAAGCACAGAAAACACACTGAGACCAGCTTACAAAGTTATAAAATTACCTGACCTTACAGTTCAATATTGATTTTAGATTACTCTCAGTCTGCTGTCTAAGTTTCCTTATTAAAACTATAATGCAATTTTCTAACAGTGTTATTTCCTGTGACATTTTCTAACTCTTGTTTACCACATGCCCTGATTTTCCATCTTAGAGCAACATTAAATCAAACAGCATTAGAATAGCAATAAATAAAAAGAGCATTACAATGTATTATCAGAACTGTCTGCAAGCTTAAGAAACTTGTCAATATAACATCCTTTTTATAAAAAAAAAAATATTTGAGTAACATTAGTTATGTAACTGTAGTCCTGTGGAAGGCCAATAATACTTCAGTTCTGAAAGGAAAATGGGAAAATTGTGTCTTATGGGCATGATGTACACTGATAAATCCGGTAGGCAAGAAGTTATCCTCATAGATCTTCACGCACATAATCAGCCCTGGCTTTTTCTAAAATTCTCTAGTTTTCCTCAGAATACTCTTTCCTCCTTCCTGAGTTCCCTGCTCCTATGAGGAATATGGTTCTTTACAAATCATCCCATGTATTTATCTTACTTTAGCAGTAGGAGGTTCAAGACTAAGCTATGGAAAGGTACCAATACTAGCATATTATTTCTTATGATTTTAAGAAATACTGTTTGTTTTTTTTTCTCAAAAGTTGTTTTTTTTTTTTTTTTTTTTCAGTGGGCACTAAAGTGGAATAGCCCAATCAGAACTCACTTTTTACAAATGTAAAGGTTACATTGTGAGGGCAATTTTTCCTGTTTGCTTGAAAAGGTACAATGGTAATAAATTTTATTCAATACAAATAAAAATGTCAATTTCACATCCTCATATCCTAAAAATTAGCATGAGCTCTCATATATATTGGACTCAATATTAGTCTCAATATTAGTTTTTTCAATATTTTTCAAATATTGAAATTTGCTCCAAGTGACATTAACTGAATTTTAAAAATAACCAAAACCATTCAGTATTTATGAATTGTTTCTAAATGATCAGAGAATAATATAATCACAGAATGGCTTGGGTTGGAAGGGATCCTAAAGATCATTTTATTACAACCCCCTGTCATGACCAGAAACACTTTGTAGGCTGCTTACACCCCCATCCAACTGGCCTTGGACACTTCCAAGGATGAGGAGTCCACAACCTCTCTGGAAACTTGTGCCGGGGCCTCACCACCCTCACAGTAAAGAATTTCTTCCTCATACTCAATTAAGCTTACCTTCTTTCAGTTTAAAACCATCCACCCTTGTCCAATTACTACATGTCCTTCTACTGGAAGGTTCTGTAAGGTCTCCCTGGAGTCTTTTTCTTCTCTAGGCTGAACAGCTCCAGTTCTCTCAATCTTTGCTCACAGCAGAGGTGCTTCACACCTCTGATTATTTTCATCACCCTGCTCTGGACTCACTCCCAAAGATAACACCTTTCTTGTGTTGGGGGCCCCAGAGCTGAATGCAACTTTCCAGATGGAATCTCTTGAGAGCAGAGTGGGAGGGTAAAATCACCTCCTTTTTGATGGCAAATGTGGTCTACATTTCCCCTTTTTCAATCAGTGGGAACTTCCCTGGCCTGCCATGACTTCTCAAATACAATGGATAGCAGATTAGGCCAGTTCACTCAGGACCTGTGGATGTATCTCATCAGGTCCCATGGATTTGTGTGTGAGAAATGGATTTGTAAAGGATTCTCAAAATTTTTGAAAGCTCACACAGCCTTGTACATTTGTATGCAAACTCTGAGATAAGGTGTGCTGACTTAGGAAGGCCATGGAATAGAGATGACGTTGTTGAGAGAGAGATTGAACTAGAAAAAAGTTCCAAAAGATGGCCTTGCAAAAACACCAGGAATTTTTGAGAATTAGAACAGTGAAAGATGCATTGCAGCTGGACCACATGGAGTAAACAACAGGTGATTGGTGTTAGAAATGTTAGCAGCATTGTTTGGCAAAGCTAATAGGCTGAAAAACATTTATAAGGTATTGTAACCAGGAAATAGAGTGGCTTCTGATGGAATGGTGTTGAGTTTTACATCTTTTATGTCTCACCCTTCTACAAGACTGATAAAGGAGTAAAATCTTTTAAAACACCTCTCAGTTACCCCATCTCTGTAGAGCTGGGATTTTCCAACACTTGTGCATTTCAAAACTCCTTAGGTTTTCTCAAACTCAGTCTTCTTCAGAAAAATAGCAGCAGGGCCAAGGACAGTAGCCCTCATTCAGGATACCCCTTCCATAAAAATCCCACTGGTTTCATAAAATCTTTGAGAATATGTCAGTCTGGGAATCAGGCCACTGGGCTGCTGCAAAGCCAGAAATGCTACTTTATTGAAGCAGGGGACAATCCCCCAGAACAATTTCTTCTGCAGAACATCACTAATAGTACCAGACATGAGCAAACAGTGATGCAGATTCCAGCTTGATGCCATCTTTGGATATCAATGGGATGTTACGGTAACCTGGAAATACGATGATTTAACATTATTAGTGTATTAACCACAGGCACAGATATTATAATGGGGTGGGTTTATGATCATCTATGCAAATAGGACATTATTTATGATTCTGTAAATAGCTCTTTAAAATGAAATAATACAGGACCTAAACACCATTTGTGCTGATTTCTCTCATATATATATAATATGTAAATTATGGTATTTTTAGTGACAGTAAAAAACTCGTGGTTTTCAGGATGTGGTATTTTTTCAAATGGAAGACTTCTAGCCTAGTGATATTTAAACACGGGCAAAGCTTACAATATAACATCCAGGGTTAGGTGCTGCATGCATTGTTCTGATAGCAAATGAAATCAGCATGTGAAACATCATTGATGGCAGCTACACATTGGTGTTGTAGCAGCCATGCACTGTCCAGCTGAGGCAGAAAAAAGTGAAGTATAACATCTTCTGCCATGGCATCTTAAGAAGTTGATTTCTTTTGAGTAATTCACTTTATTAGAGATAAGTCATGCCATTAGAAACTATGTGTTCATCTGGTTGCTTGAAACATTTGGAGAAGCTTCAAACATAATTCACTTACCTGCTCAGAAAACAAAACAATCTCTTCTTCAAAACCCCAGCCTGTATGGCTTTATATGACTAAATGTCCATTATTTCATAATACTAAACAATGTCACTCTTGATTTTCAAATATTCTGTATTCTATCTATGTATATATAACTCCAGCTATTTAAGTCTCTGTTTTGTATCAATATCTGTGTTTTCAAAACGGAAGTTTTCAAAATCCCTCTTTAGGTCCAGCTGGATGCCTGTGGAATGTTTGGGGCTCACATTTACCTAGGTTTGGAATTTCTTGCTTCTTTTATACAGAATCATAAAATTGTTTAGGTTTGAAAAGGCCTCTAAGATCATCAAGTCCAGCCTTGACTGATCACCATCTTGTGAACCCAAGTGTGGCACTAAGTGCCATGTCCAGTTGTTTCTTGAACATCTTCAGGGATGGTGATTCCACCTCCTCTCTGAGCAGCCCTTTCTAGTGCTGGGCA